ACACACACACACACACACACACACACACACACACACTTACTTTAGGAGGGGGGATCGGTGGCCGAGCTTGTTAACGCGCCGCAGCCCGCGGAGCGAATGCTCGCGCTGCAAAACCCTGGGATCCTGGGTTCAGATTACCACCCCTGCCCGTTTTGGATTTGGATGAGCATCGTGTACCAGCGTGCGGTAGTGCATCACTCAAATAGGACTGCCTGATGCGTGTTGAAGGCCCCAGGCGAGCAGTAAGGTATACTGGCCTGGCTAAACTTCTCATACACCTGAGACATCAGACGCCCGTTCGGGCTGACTAACGACCGATTACTTTATCCCCCCTCCCCCAATTTTAGATCATCCTCATAACGCTGTTTTTAAAACCTGACATGAGGAGTCAAAGTCTTATCGACATGGCCGGCAATACGTACCGAATTGTATGGAGCTTCGGCGTATCGAATGATGTACAATCATTTCTCAATTTTCCTAATTAAAAAAAGAAACAAAAAAAAAATATTTGTATGGGTAAGAGAGAACGTGGGAACGTATACTGCTTCTACATTACTTCAACGTTTTGTATTTGCTATATCTTTCGTGACCCGTATTCTGTGTACGTACTCGCAGTACACGCGACTGGGAAGCAGTACGTGGGTAGTTAGGCGAACTGGTTTAGAAACGTAGGCGGCTGCTGCTGGGGCCGTCTTTGCGTTGAGGGATTAGATTTTGCTCGCGTCTGCATACGTTTTTTTTTTCCTCACATCTTTTGGTTTTTGTAAAATTTTTTCGAGAAAGCACAACGCATAACGTTTTTGTTATCACGTCGTACAGGTGCAATTTCGTCAAGTACTCGCATTTACGGGTACACACCGAAAAAAACGTATAACCAAACTTCCACGTAAAAAAAAAAAAGAAGAAAAATATAGCGTTAGTGTTTTTACGAAAAACAGAAAAAATAAGATATATTTACCGTACTTTCTTAATTGTAGAAGTAAACTAGGCATTGCCCAAACGCTCTCTCTCCGCCCGAAAAATCTGGCGCCAGCGGATTGAACAATATTGCAAATAGTTTCAGAGCTGACCGTTACCTGAATGAGAATTTACGAATAATTTACGAAAGTTTGCAAGAAAAAAAAAAAAAAAATGACGACCGACGAAACCCGCGGATATTGTACACGAAGATGAATGGCATCAGCGGGAACAAACCTCATTTTCCCATTAAAAGCTAAAAAAAAAAAAGGCATCGCTTAGTTATACTTTTTGAATCGGATAACGGTGAGTTCTCCTACTTTTGCATTTGGTGTGGATCGCTATATTTCTACATGTGGGACGTAGACTGAGCGTTCGGCAAAGTGGAACATAAAAATTAAGATTGAAAACAAAAACTATTTTTATTAACCGTTTATCTATTATTTTATGTTGTCCATGCGCATTTATGTTGTATCTAAATCATAAAAAATCCACAAGCAGGAAGGATTCATGGGACGTTTTACACGAACAAAAAGCTTTGCTCGAGCTTTTTTTTTTTTTTTTTGCTACCTTCGATTTCGTTCGATTGTTACGGAATTCCGATTGCAAGCAACTCGGAACACAAAAAAGAAAGTGAATCGAGCCTTTTCACTTGCTAGACAAAGTATACACTGCTCTTGTAAACCACAGCTACTCCGTGGTTTACCCCAGTAAAAAGTTGTTCGTTGTTAAACTGAGCTTTAAAAGTTGGCACGTACAGTAATTTTTCTGCATCGTTTTCAGTGACCGGACTGATTAATTCAGTCTACCATGCAAAAAAAAAACAAAAAAACATAATAATAAAGAATCGCGTTTTTCTAGCTGGAGTGATTTAAACCAAATAAATTTAATTTGTTTAATATAAAAAGTAACATTATTTATTTTTTACCCTGGTGTACGGTAATGCGTAGTTTAATGTTTAGGCGAAAAAAACAAATACTGCGGTATTTCATATTTTTTTTCTCGCAGATACGCTGTCGAAAACGAATATAGACGGAGAAAACTGCTGACGAACGTTCCTCGTCTCATCCGTCTTTTGTCCTTCGCACTATTTGCGTTTTACGCGTAATACTTATCCGACCATAGTCAAGGAAGAAGAACTCGTAATTGGACTATGTTGGTGAACATTAGGCAGTACAATGTAAGGCGCAAAAAAGAAACGGTCGCAACGAGGAAGAAGACACACACACTCACAGGCGAATGTCTGTGTGTCGTCTTCCTTGTGTCCGTTTTTTTTTTTTTTTTTGTCGCCTTACACCCCGCTTTGTATAGTCACTGAAAGTACGAGAACTTCAAGAAAGCCCTTCAGTTGTCCCGTCTTCTGCGCGAGCTTCCTATACCTTCGATAATGCTTCGGCGCTTCGCGTGAGTCTCGAACATGCGCGCGCGGCCGAAGCACGGCGGAAGGCAGCGAGCGCATGCTCGATGACGAGCGTCTGAGAATGACGCCCTGCAGCTCTCATCGTGTCAATGATTATACGCAGGAAACGAGTTTCCTAAGCACATTCCTGTCACCTGTCAGCTCTGAAGTGCCACGTGACTTTGTACCGCGTTAGCATGAATCTCTGTCAGGCAAATCACGTGACGCAATAGAGGCCGGAAAAGAAAAAAGGGGGGGGGGGGGGGGGAGAGGGATCGGTACGAACGATACGTAGCTTTGAACTTTGGTCGAAGCCGAATAAAAGTGAACGGAGGGTGCAGGTAATAACACAACGCAATGGTTAGGCTGCCCCACAGTGCACCTTGCAGGTGCGGGAAAGACTGCTTTCCGTATAACTCCGACAAACGAGGCTGTTGATGATTTATTTTCATCTGTGCGCTTCAAAATTTCCCGCGTATTTATCCAGAATGTTTCGTAGCATCACTGTGCACTCTCTGCAAATTTACCGTTTCCTCCTCGCAAGCGTTGATCGTTACATTCCAATAATGTTTTGTAATACTTGTTCTCGAGTTTTTTTTTTTTTTTTTTCTGCATATTTTGTCATTATTTTTCTCACCATCACGTAATTGGTTTCATAGCTTCGGTTTAGATAGTGAGTGAAGTCGAACAGCCGGAGTCGAAGTCCCTCACACAATAAAACACGTAAGAAATAGCTCCGCATTAAAACAATCGATGACATCGAATCGTACAACTGTCGAACTAACTATCCCCCAACATGAACCTTAGCTCTTTGTACATTTCGACAAATGACAATTGAAACGAATCAGCGATTATCGAGGACACTCGGGTGCAACTGACCATAAAACGTATGTTATAAAATCGATGCAAACTTAATCGCTAAGCGTTGCCAAACTTTACTATATACTTCTTTTTTATTTATTTTTTCTTAGTTGACTATTGACTTTTTCAGAAAATTCTCAATGACAAAATGGGACGCGTTCCCGCGGTAGCATTCACTCTTCATTTTTATGTTCTCGCGGGCTCCGTTGTTCGTCAATTTTTAAACCAAAATTGTCACCCAAAAAATAAATTCGCAACTTTTGATTTGGAGACTGGCAAGTTCGGAAACTTTGGCATCTGACCCGGAGGCGGAGGCTGAGCTTTTAGCGATGCTTGCGTTATTTTTGTGGTGAGAGAAACACGGTTCTCTTTCCTTCCAAAGACCCGTATATTGATATATCTTAATAGCAAATCCGTATGTGGGCACAAACAACGAACTCGTGCGGTGTCTTCGCTGGGCCTCGCAATAGAGTCAGGAACGACGCAAGCGAGCAGGATAACACCTGTGCTGTCATGTACGACCACGGCATAGTCTTACCCTCTCTCTTTTCCGTGTACGTAAAATCGTGACCGTTAACAAAAAAAAAAAAAAAAAGAAGGAAAGTGAAAGTAGATACTGCACGCGCAAACGTGGAAGAAAAAAAAAAAAAAAGCGTGTTTCTGGAAAACTATACGCACTAGCCGCAAGAGCGTGGCGGCGTAGAAACGTGACAATCTCACGCTTTTGGTCATCATTATGCACTCCACGAATAGAGGTACGCACGCGGAAACAAAGTGTGTGGATGTTCACGACTTTTGCGCGTTATCCTCATTTTTTTTTCCTTCTTTGCCTGTTATGTGTTGTGCTGCTGCTAAAACAGTTTTATTGTTTAAATTTAATTCATGTATCTTCTTTTTCTGTTAGTTGCAGACCACACGAGATGACAATCTTAGCTCAAAAATGTGATTTATTTTTTCTTTTCCTGTTCCTGAAACCGTTTATCTTTTATTTTATTTTTATTAATTCGTGTATCTTCTCTTTTTGTTCGGTACAGGCCACACGAGACTTAGGTCTTACCTCAAAAAAATCTGATTCTGAATTGATGAAAGGAACGAAGAAATCAATCACGTTGGAGGGAAAGGGTGTATAGATGGTTAAGTGATGATGCTAGCTAATAATTAAATACCCTAATATTTTGAGTTGCTTCACGCACGTTTATGCTTTTCAATGATGATGATGATGAGGGTGGCAGGGAGTTTAGTGGTGCAGCAGCAACGAAGACCATAGTGCGCTAACTTCGTAAGTATGGACCACGACTTTTTCGTATTTTCTCACTTCCTGTTCCTACCTTTAACATACCCAACGGCTAATACCACTAAACAGGTGTTGTACGTTTATCTGAAGTTGCTTCCCCCCCTCTCCTCTTACAGGCACACATATATACAATTAGTAGTAAAAGACAAATTCATTTTCTACAATAATTATTATTTTGTCATTAAATTTAACGCTAATTACAGTGGCAAGCGCACGGTTCCGTCTGCTAGTTTCCGTGACACTGTTACGTGTTTGGCGAACACGAGGCGCCGCATATTGCGTGCCCTTCGTTTATAGTTAAGGGATAATAAAAAAAATCATGCAGCTAGTTGTGGGAAATATTACAATACGTAAATTAACCACTAAGTGAACTGGGTCCCTTTAAATTGCGGAGAGCAGAAATGAAAAAAAAAACTGAAACTAAGAGCCACGTCTGCTAAAGTAGACGACGAGGCACGGGTCGATCGTGTAGCAGACGACACGACTTACCTTCGGGTACTGGTAGTGAGCCGCAGATAGTCTCAGGCGGGAAGAGTGTGTTCTGCTGAAAGAGCAATCGCCAGATGTGCTCTCGACTGACGCGCTGTCATGCCGCGCACAAGTATTTTTCGTTCGCGCACAGAATTCCTTTGGCGCAATCAGTCGGTAAACTTCGAGAAAAAAAATAATCGACAACAGGTGCACACAGGCTTTTGCTTGTCACACAGGGACCGAGAAGAGAGCAACCACCGGCTGCCGATACACCCGGAGAAGCGCCTACGAGCACTCTGTGGCGAGACCGGCGGGACTCGAGAGATGTGCGGCGCTAACCTTGCGTTTGTGCGTGTGCGTACGCTGGAAAGGGAACAGCTTTCGGAAAGGAGGAAGTCCGCCGTGTAGTTTCGAAAGCTTCGGAGAGATGGCGCGGACGAACGTCAAAAATGTGCTTTGCGTTCTAGGCGTCAGGTGGCGCAAGTTATAATCCGTGGCCAGAGATATTTGAGGCGTATGGATGCGTCAACGACGTCGACAACTTTACTTAGTAGATTTCCTGGGAACGTTTTTAAGATCCTTGACGTTTTATTTTCAAAGACTGGCTGGCAACAAATAAAACTAAAATACTTATTTGATAAAAAGCTTCCACTCTCTTTGCGGAGGTGCCAAATTTCCGTCTCGCTCGCTTCACTATCAAAGCCAGCCTGGTCAGCCCAGTAAATAGTCTGCCTGTTATTAATAATTTAATTTTATACGCTTACTTGGCTGAAATATTGCCTTTAATGTTTGATCAGTTCTACCGAGTTCTACGAAATATTCACGGTAACAACTTTTCACCTTGGCAACAACGAAGTATTCCCGGTATCCCCGGCAGGGGGATTCCAGCGCTCCTTCGGCTTCTTTGTTGTTTTCATATTTTTGTTTTCTGTGTGTGTTGTCGTCGTCGGTGTCGGTCGCACAAAATTTTCCGTGGAAGCTAGGGTTTACCAATGTAAGTAGTTTTCCGGGTTCCTTGAGAAAACTAGGTACTATCGAATCGTTTCGGAAAGGCGTGTTGCCGATTCAAAGAACGACAGCGACTCTTGACATTGCGTTTTCTTCGAGGGCTAGGCCTAAGTCAGTCCGCTCCGGCCAAACTCCGTCTCTCTCGCTGTCTTTCAATAATAAGTTTGTAAATTCGTAACCTGTGTGGCGTAATTTGTGACAGATCTGCTGCATAAGCTTCTCACTTAGAAGTCAATTTCTAGGTTATACCTTTCTTTCAAACAGTAATGTCCTTTGTGACTGGTGGTCCTCAGTTCCTTTCACTTTCTGCGCTGTGTAGTCTTCCTAACCTCGCAGTTTGCTGGTAACTTAGGAAGTTAAGCAATACCCAGTCGTTTGGCCGACTACCAATCCGTTACGTATTTTTTAATTCAACGAACTGTTAAGCCTTTCCCTTGGTTCGTGCTCGAGACGCCAACATCGAGTGGCTCGCTCATTTTCGCACGCCGCGTGTCGTTCGCATGTCTTTCAAGTCTTGCACCATTTCTCTTTAAAGATGCCGAACATCAAGCTGCAAAGCTCCGACGGGGAGGTCTTCGACGTCGACGTCGAAATCGCCAAGGCGTCCGTCACCATCAAGACGATGCTTGAAGGTAAGGAGGGCTCCTTTCTTGCACCTCTGTTGCCTCACCCGTGTACGGCTCGCGTACCGCCAATAGGTCCTTTTGTTTACGTTGCAAAGCAAGGCTCTAGGGTGCAACACAAATTGGTTGGAAGGGTTGTTTAGTGGAGTAACGATGTTTTGACCTTTCATGAGTGAGCTGGAAAACCGCGACCAAATCAGGAAATAGTACCGGTAATGTTTTTGTTTTTCTACGGTGGTAATTTCGGTACGCGCGCCTGCACCCTGCATTTCGGTGAATTCTGTGTGCGGTTAAAAAGGGCGCGTTATAAAATTGTAATTCTAAAGAAGAGCCCATTAATTTGTTCGTGGCTCTGGAGGAAAGCTTGTTAATCTTTTAACAAACCCAGGAAAACAAAAAAAAAAGAAAAATCCTGCGAATTCAATGTTTATGCAAAGTTGTCGTCATTTAAGAGCAGTAGTGAAGCCTCACGTGTGCAGGCAGCATACACATTTTGAATCCGGGTGCTCTGCTGCAGCCTGCATTGTGCTTTCAGGATGGCTGTTTATGTGTGACTGTCGCCATATTTAGTTGTTAGTTAACTGGGATGGCGGAAGTTATAAACTGTCTTCAAAGCATTCATTTAAACATCAATAACAAGGAACTGTATGTCGGTTCAGTATATAACAATCCAGGATGCACTCCAGCTGTATCCTACTGAACTGGTTATATTTCCCCCAGATTATCTTTTTAATTGCTCTTACATGAAAATATTGTTTTATTTATTTTTGTCGTGTCACCAACGACATAAATGGTCTTCTTCTTCTATTGAAGTCCAGAATTACTACATGCAGATATGGCAACCAAAGCTGTTTTCAGTTCACTCAACTGAATTATGTTTTTAGTTGAGTGAACACACTTCAAATGAATGAAGGCTTGGTTTACAAACTCGTAGGCAAGCCTTTTTCTGCATCTGGCAGTTTCTCCTATAAGGTTATCTTCAGTCACCTTTTATTCTGCACTAAATGTGTGAACTCAATTGAATGTAACAAGTGTAAAAAAAAACAAAGTGAGACATTTGCCCCACTTGTGAAATTAAACTTAAAAGGTGTCAGATCACTTGTAACAAAGTTACGGTGGGTCATTATTGAAGTCCGTCACTGTGTTTGAGTACTAAATAGTGCTGTGTGAAACAGTAAAAAAAAGGATAGTTCCAGCATGTACTCTTAAAAAAACGCCCGTGCGTCTGCTTTCCCGCACAATGCTCGGAGAGCCAATCACCGCAACTTATGGGGCCAGCTCAGCGAATGAAAATGCCGAAACATGTGTTTAGACCAAGAACGCAGTTCGAGTTGTGACATTAAGCAATGCAAGCGTGACACTTTACATTGCTTAATGTCACAACTGGGACTGCATTTTTTGGTCTAAACATAGATTTCGGCATTTTCATTCGCTGAGCTGCCTCCGTAAGTTGCGGTGATTGGCTCTCCGAGTGTTGTGCGTGAAAGTAGACGCACAAACTTTTTTTAGAGTGTAGTTTCTAGAAAGCAAAAAGTTCTGAATACTGGCAGAATGCAACCCTAGTGTCAAGTTTTTATGCTGAGATAGTGCCTTGCTAACACGCACAAAGGGTTGTGGGGAAGTTTTTGCACAAGGGTTGAGCCTTATCACACACTATCAGCTGTGGCTGCAGGTTGCCACTTCTGAGAAATTGCTAATGGGGTAGCACCTTTCTCCTAGCAAGATTTGTCCGTTACAAGCTTGCAAGGTCATTGTGTACTGTTTAATCTGGCCTAGCTTAGCTTCAATATGTTTATTTATACCTGCCAAACCTTTTCACTTAGGTGTATAGGTCCCATCATTGTTGTTCAGTTAAAGCAGGGAGTCTATAGCAACCGGGAATTGTCAGGGATATTGTCAAAAAGCGAGCCCAGTCAGGGAAAATGAGCCGGAAATGCCATCGAGTGCCCTGAGCGAAGACTTGAGGACTGGGGGGCAGAAAAATAGGCAATAAATTCTGCTTAGAGCGGAGTGCGGGTTCTGCTTACCCGATGTGGAGTCTGCTAGACGATGCAAAGGGAACAGCCGACACATCCAGTCCAAGCCTTGGATTGAATTGGTGTGGATTGAGGGCTCGACACTAGGCTAGATCCGGTTATAGCTACTAGATTTAGTAACAAATTGGAAAGCCATAGGCCCCAAGCCCTAAGCCGAAAGTGTGCATCTGGCGGCCATGCTGCCATTCGGTTATTAATGTGCGTGGTTGAGCGTCGTGTTTTCATCGTGTTTCCTTTCTGGAAGTGGCCTCTTCGCCGACGATGTCGGCGGCAAGAAAGTGCTCGTTTAATCCGGACTGGACGAACCCGAATACTTTGGAATATGAAAGTTGGATTAAGCCTGTGCAAAATGATTCTCACAGTGCCCAATGCTTAATGCCTTGTGTTTTAATGGTCTTGCATATTTAACCACCTCTGCAGTGGTCAGAGAATTTCACCTGAAATTGTCAAGGAAAACCTGGAAAAGTCAGGGAAGTTCGATAATAATTTGCTAGACACCCTGTAAAGAAGACAAGTTGAATTGCTGCAGTGCAAACAAAAAAAATACCCCCCCCCCCAAAAAAAAAAAAAAAAGACAACAACAACAACAAGAGTACAACAACTGCAGGTCCAAACTTGCAACAAAGCCTGGTAACCCCAGTTTGTGTATTTCTACACTAGTTCTTCAATCTTTTTGTGGCTTGCTCCTCTACAACTTTTCCCTCCATCACCCCCTGTGCCAGGCTTTGGAGATTTGTAAACCAAGTGGATTATCTCTCCTTAAGATTGAGCTCCTACTAATCCTATCCCAAGGTATGGTCCCTTGACCTTCAGTGCTGGAGGCCAAGGGCCTTCTCCCAAGAACTATAGGAACCCTCTTCTTGAGAAAGGAGATATGTGCCAAGCTGCACTCAGATGCTTATCCCCCTATATCTCCCAAACAGGTTCTCCTTTCTTTTTCGAAGGAAGTGATTGCATCTGTTGGTATTTTGTCTCCAAACTTCTACCAAGGATAGAGCATTGGTTTTTGTGGAAGTCCCCCTGAAAAGTTTCAAGAACATTGTAAATCAGAGTGATATATAGTAAGGGAAATATGTGACTTAGTTAGTCTTAAAGGGCCTCTGACGCACCAAAAAAATTTTTTTTTTTCATGCTAGGCATTGAAATGGCATATCAAGACATTACAAAAAAATTGTTGCACTATAGAGTTGCATAGTTTTTTTTAATAAAAAATAGAAATACAAGGCCCAATTCAAAGTTCCCGCCAGTGCACTGTGGCATAACAGTGTAACGCATGGTGTCGGGGCGGTCAGAAGGGAGGCATCAACCTACGTCACTAAAAGTGGGTTCACCGGAAATCACGCGAGTTTCACTCCTTGTGCTCTCCGCAACCGTGCCCAAGACTTTTTTTAAATATTTTTTTTATTCTGCTCTTGGTACGAGCGATTGTAGAAAACAAAGTCTCTGTTCCACTAGCTCTTTATCGCTGCACCGTTGGTTAGTTTGCATGCTGTAAAAGTTGAGGACGAATAGTCAGTGGATCGACGTGATGGAGGTCAATGATGAAAGTGTTGCGAGTACAAGCCAGTGTATGAATGCATGCCGTCAGTACGATGACACAGAGGTATACTGGGCACAAAAAAGCTATAAAGTTTTGAAAAAAAAAATTAGAACGCTCGCAGAAATTAGGATTGCGAGCATACTACACGCCCGATCGCATTGCCGAAGGTTCAGACACCGAGGTCGTTGAATCATCGGATACTCTCCAGGCTGAAGATGCCTGGCGTCTAAAGAGTATTAACTGGTGAGTGTACCAACTACAAGTAAATGTCAGGCATAAAGTATGTGTTTTATCTAGAACATGAGTAGAACTTGTTTACTAGGTGCACATGCAGCCAATGCGTCGTGATGCCTGAATTCAAGCCTCTTGAGTGCCGCTGCTGCAGGAAGATGGGCAGGAAACTTAGACCTGCAGTTGAGGTCTCACATCGAGACCTGTGAGCTTTAGTAACATTCGCCTAGGAATGTAATCTTCATCACTAAAGTGCATCGAGCATATCCATCGCCTACCCATGGATTCTAATAGCTGTCCTGCGGGAACCGCAGTCAGCTACCGGTCCATCTCTTGTATGTCTCTCGGAAATACGTGCAGTGTGATCTCATCTTCAGTTGCTGAAATACTGGGACAGTCCCTCACACAGCACCTTCTAGACATTGTAGTTGATCACATCAATTCACTGACTCCTCTTCTACCTTTACAGCAACATTAAGCGATGAAAAGCAAATAAGAGAGAAACCTTGTCTGCTTGGATTGCTTGTGGAGGTGCGGAGAATAACAAAAATACTAAAAATAATAAAGCACGAGGAGGGATACAGCTCGCGTGACTTCTGGCGATGCATCCCTTCTGACCACCCCGACACCTTGCGGTACACTGTTACGTCACAGTGCACTGGTGGGAACTTTGAATAGGGCCTTGTATTTAAATTTTTATGAAAGAACTACGCAACTCTATAGTGAAACAATTTTTTTTGTAATGTCCTGATATGCCATTGATAAAAAAAGCATGATAAAACAAAAAAAAAATTTTTTTTGGCGTGTCGGAGGCTTTTTAAGTGCGGACAGGAGAGTCAAAAATTAAGAACGGTTGCCCTTTTCACACCCTGTAACAGTTCACACAGGAGAGACTTCTTTGGGTGCGTTGGAATTCATGGCTGAGGTCACGTCCTCTGTGTCCATTGGATGGATGGATGGATGCTAATTGCTGTACCCTTTAATCGGGCGGTAGCTTGCGTCCCCTAGCCTAGAAACTAAAAACCAAAAGTATGGCTCCTCTCTTCCTTCTAAGCCCATTTGCTTCCCCTCTTCAATTTTGTAACTATCACCAGGTGACATGGGATACCACCAGGGTGACCTATAGGGGATTGAGCTAAAGTAACTAAAAACATCACCCCCGCTTCCTTCCCCCCGGTGAGGGGATCGCCAATTTTTCTCCGGTCAAACCTGGCCGGCATTACCCCAGCACCGGACCCACTGGGAGACAGGGTTGAGACCGGGCCGGAGCCTTGTGGAAGGAAGTCCCTATTTTCCTCTGTCCTGCCTGTCCCCAGTTAGTTGTACTGTAAATCATTCAATTCTCTCTAGATAATTTCCACCAGTCTTCTTATCTCCTCTTTGTTATTAAAATGCACTTCTCATCCCTTCTTTCATTCTCACCCCAGCACTCCGGCTAAATCCATTGCCCCCTCCGGGTCGATGGGAGCGCAAGCCCTGTTGTCTATTAGCCCTGAGAAGTTTGCGTGGCGCCCCCTCACGGCGAGCCGGTGTGACGTCACGTCGAGGGCAGAATTTTTCCCAGACTCATCCCGCTCGCCGTGTGAGGGCTGGGGCGACGTTAGCTGTCGGCGCGCTCATTTCTATTCAATGTTTTGCGTATTTTTCGTAGGTAGTGTAAATTTTGTAACATGGCTTTATTGATGTATGGCCTGTAGCTGCTGGCGAAACTTTAACATTTCAGGCATGCTTGACAGGGCAGCAATGCATGAATCGCAGCTGGTATATGAAAATAAAGAAATATGGGCACAATCGCAGGAGCATCACTATGGATTTACATCTCGCACAATCCATGGTGCTGATGGTGTGAATAAATTGGCAGGTAACCATTTTTTGTTTTATCTGTTTTTAAACAAGATGGCAGAGGCAGGAAAGCTGCATGCTGCTCGAGGAACATGTTAAATACAGTCTGGGCCATGGAGAGAGAATCACAAGTGAGACAGCCCAAGTACAGGGGCAAAGTAAAGAAAGAAGGAACATTTATTTATATACATTGCTCACATTTGACCTTTGCTGGATTCGGATAGTATTTCAGTGGACTACACGGGTGGTTTTTGTGGATTTGTCTATATCATCCCTCAAATAATGTACAACAAACGTAAGCCAGGGTGTCTAGCCCGTTATTAGTCCCTTAGGCTCTAAAATTGTGATTTTAATTAAATCAAATTGTCCTGAGTCTGAAATACCTAAAGCTTTTCTCACGCAAACTGTCACCCTTCGCAGGTTCCACATTTTCTTCTACTAGTGCAGCATCTACCACTGGACAGCCGTTCAAATGCTTGCTATTCCTCCTGTTTTCCTTCGTTGTCAGGGGGTCCAGCTGTAGGGAGTTTGGAGGCTGAAGAAGCTTTTGGAGACCTGCAGCAGTGTCTCTTTTAATTAGAAGTGAAAATTTAAAATAAACGGTGTATTTTTCGAATACTCAAGGCTGGAATAAAGAAAGAATGCCAGGAAAGGTGTAAACATTCCAAATTACGGCACTATTGCTGTGCATATTTTGGGCAGTTCAATACATCTAATACAGGAAACTGGGGGCAGTTTGACCATTTTTTTTACTACCATACAAACTAATTTCCAGTAATTGTGCATCTTCTAAACAATAAAATATGCCTGCATACGTGTATGATCTATATCATCAATTCACGAAAAAGCTACATTTATGTAAAACAACCCTGTTCCACGAGCACTTCAAAGGCCTCCAGACCCAGGACCTTTAAAACATCTGCGAACCAGCGCATGCAGAGTGACATGTGCAGAATCGGGGTCGCGAGCTAAGTTGCAGATTGCCTAAAGGCCCTTGATATAAATGCCATTTCAAATGCCTGTAAAGCGGGATGTAATATTCTTCTAAATCATGAACATGCTAGGAACAGAATTCCAGCTTCTGAAACACTTATGCCGCCGCTTCACCGACCCCTCGCAAGATTGCCTTGTGTCGTGTGGACGGATGGGGAGGTTCATCGGCAGAATTGTCTTCGCCGATTGCTTTCTGGATTTGTAACCCAATTATAAAGGTTAAAGTGACAAGCAGGCTTATAAAAAATACGACAGCACATCAATATTGGCCTAACCAAGCGTCATGTGCACCGGGTAAATGAGGTCTCGCTCCTCGAAGTACTTGCGGCACACATTGTAGGAAACCGGTGCAGGGAAGCGAGCCGGATGCGAAGATTGCGGAGCGGGGTTTTTCCCCGAACGTCACTACACCTCACCCAATCGTGGCGCGGCGACCGCAGCGATGCTTCTGTTCGCTCTCGGGGCTAATTGTCTCGTCTTCCCCCTGGCATACGCACACCGCCTATCCATTTCCTCACACTTTGTCCTATATGTCCTAGTCCTCAATAATCCTGTTCTGGCCGCGAAGAACAGCGAGGTTCCCAGTGAATTATCGTACCAATGTTCCTTCCTTATTTCCTGTTTTCGTCCCCTATACATAGTTAAGGCTGATTTTCCCTGCATTCTTTCCCCCCACACCTTTCTCCCGGCTTCTTTTACTTCCTTTTTCACAGAGGTAGTCTGTTCTGCCCCTACACTTTGCTGTTGGTATTTGAATTTCAGTTTTGAAGTTCGGTTTGTCAATTTAGTGTTCAAACTTTTCATGTATAGATATTTGTATACTTTCTCGCCCATTGTGTCCAGCCTTTGTTAGAATTTCAACCTACGGATCCCTTCTCAAACCTTTAACGATGCCCAGCCGATGTCTTCCTGCACTCCTTCATTTGGTGTTTCCATGAGCCCCTAGTGCCAGTCTTCCCATGCGCCTCTGCCAGGTCTCTTAACTCTATTGGACCTCAGAGCTCATGCATAATACTGCACTGCCAGAAGACAACCCCGGCATCATGACTCGTTTCCATATTTCCTTCACAGACTCATATCTATTGTAATTCCATAGTGCCCTATGCTTCCTAAATGCCGCATTCCTTTTTTTTTTTTTTTTCTCTAGCATATTTCCTTCCTGTTCTTCTAAGTATTGTTTTCCCTCATTCATCCATACTCCGAGGTATTTATACTTCTCCCAGTGTTCAATTAAGACGCTTTGATTTTTCAGCGGGTCCCCCTTCTCAACATTATAAACCATTATTCCCGATTTGTCGCTACTGAATTTGAGGCCCAGAGAGTTTCCTCCACACAGATTTTAATCAGCTCCTGTAACCTATACCGGCTATCTGCTCAAAGTACAATGTCATTTGCTTGGAACATTCTTGGTATGACACATGAAAGCCCATATTGCACTCTTCTAATTTCTTTTCCCTTCTACTTAGGATGATAGCCAAGAAATTGAGATCATCAATGTTTCTTGATTGCCTTGCGGAGAAGGCATCGCATTGAAGATTTCGGTTGCACGTCAAGAAGATCCCCAGATGTTTGAAGTTAATTCTCGATCCTCCGCTGGTGCATGCCATATGTCCTTCGTTGGTTCACCACGTAAAACTCCCTATTTCGACTTTGAATGGATGCACATACTAGGAAGGAGAGGGAAGAAGCGTCTTGGGACGAACTTGAAGGCAAAATGATTGGCACAAAAGAACACTGGGGGAGCCCAGTCACTGCAGCTGGGGGCGGATATAGGGATTGGGCTTGGGGTAGAGGGGGGGTGGGGGGGAGTATGCTGAGAAATGATGTTACGTCCAAAACGTTGCTCAGATCTATTTTGTTAGCCCAATATTGGCTGTGTCACCCCCCTTTCATAAATCCGCCCCTGACTGCAGCTCAATGGAGCCAGCATGATCTTGCTTCCTTGGTCGAGAGAGTGTTTGCCTATTTTCGTACCAGAGGTTCCTGTGCCGGCGATTTGCTAGCTGGTTCGTTGATTGCTCTTTGTGTCGTCGCAGACTTGGGCATGGATGACGACGAGGACGAGGTGGTGCCCCTGCCCAACGTAAACTCTGCCATCCTGAAGAAGGTGATCCACTGGGCCACTTACCACAAGGATGACCCGCCCCCGCCAGAGGACGACGAGAACAAGGAGAAGCGGACGGATGACATCTCCTCCTGGGACGCTGACTTCCTCAAGGTGGACCAGGGTACCCTGTTCGAGCTCATCCTGGTACGGACGTTCTCTCCCTCTTCGTTGGGCACCCCTCTCTCGGCGTCGGAATACCGCGTTAACCGAACGATGGCTACGCTTTTTATAAGTAAAGCCTACGCGTTGTCTACTCCTTCAAAGGGCATGCAAATGGGAGATCGTTAGGAGGAGCATAGTGAACGACTGGACAACGTTGAGATCCTTGTGTGAAACTGTTGTCTGTGCGTTTCACGTGGCCCAAGATTCGGCGAAGGTTGTGTCTTCGTGAAGATTTGTTTGTTTTTTATGTTTCTTACGTGTAATGCAATGATTTGGCCTATCTGGGCTCTGCAGCAAGGGATGCACACTGGCTCTGTTCAAACGGTCTGACTATTACTCGAGGAAGAGGGTTTTTGTGTGCATACTTGCACTTGTCGCACCCAGCCGGTGCCGGAAATCTGACTGCTTTGTAAAAAACCTTTCCAGTCTCTTCATGGGCCGCAGTTTCTTTATTGGCTCTTCCGTGTTTTTGTAATGCAGAAACAGATTTTGTGGTTGCTTTTTGGGCACAAAAAGAATAACTACGGAGGTTTAGGGAACTGCTTACAATAGCCGATTAATCTATATTTGTTTTCCATGCAGACAGCATGATGCCAATGAAGCAATGCAATGTTGCAGTGTCCATAGTGTATAGTGATCCTGTTCTTAGTTTTCTACCCTTCGACTGCTCTGCCATTCAAATTCAAACTGTCCTTCCTACATTGGTTAGGCCTAGCATGAATAGAAAGCTTTAGTTTAAGCGGCATTTCATCTTTTATTCGCAGCATAGTTTATTGGTCTAAGCTATCCATACAGGTATAGACCTTTCCAATGTTTACAAATCCACAGCTCGGCGTGCAATCTCCACAGCTCAGCACGCGCGTGTGCGTCGCTTCGGAAAGCGAGCAAATCACGCGCGGTACGCACGAACACTGAAAATGAAACCGGCCAGCAGCCCTTTTCTGGAAAGGTCTATAGTGGCTTGCAGAAAACATCTCTCGAGAAATCATGCGAAACCCTGCGTGCTAAGTGAGATTGTTAAAGTGGGAGTTCAATTTGTTTTATGAGCTATGGAAGTCTGCTATCATCTGCTTTCACATATGTGGTCTTCTTCTTTGACATTAGTCCTTCAGTGGTAGGCTGCCTAGGGTAAGTTGTCAGAAGTGCTAAGCAAAAGAAGGAAGCATAGGCAGAAGACAAACACGCAAGACCGAAAAACTGATGCGCTTCATGCAGCACAGCCATATCTCACCTTTCAGGAGAATGAAAGTTTTTTCACCAGCGACGATTTTACGCTGTTTTCAAGTTATCAGATAGGGTCTGAAGTAAAAGTGTACAGAAGATTGGGCATTCCATTGGGGAACACTACACCACTGGGAAATTTTGATACTAACACAGATTATAGTTTGCTAGAAAGTCTTTCAAAAGGGTGAGGTGCAAGGAACGAAAGCATGGGTGACACTGTTTTGATTGGGATGTGGATAGGTCCACGGATGGTGTAGTGCCTTCGTGTGACTACGACCGCGTCCAGCCCGACCCTCGTCTCCTGGGCCGCTCGTCTCTTTTGTTCTTGCACATCGGGGTTTTCACGCTAGATGCAGACGCCCACATAATACACGGCAATAGGCGAGTTGAACCACTGTATTGAGTGTGCTGGCACGGTCTTGTACACGCTGAAACGCATTCTGCACGTCTTTACGATGTCGGCGGATTCTGTGAAGCTACAGCAAAGAGAATCTGGTTGCAAGTGGAGGTAAATCATATTTAACTTCCTGAAACCCTATATAGTCTGTTGTAGCATAAGATACACACGGTAGCCAAACTTGGCGGAAGTCAGTGAGCACCCCAAGGATGTTTGGACATTTACAGGTCCTCGCCGAGTGTGGTGCTGTATTTAAACTGGCAGGCTCGACCAACCACCGGGGCCTTTCGGGGGTACCGGGGCATAGACTTGGGTGAATTGGTGGCCAAGTGTGTTGGCACGCTGCAGCTTAAAGGGGCCCTGCAATCATATTTAAGCGTCTACCTTTTTTGCAGTTTCCACGTCTCTTGGGGTTCGGGCAAGCCAGCGGGCACGAAGAGTAACTAAATATCAGTGCGTCATATTTTAACCGGACGACGCGGAAACCTCCTCCACCTATCGGGGCGACCCCCATTGCCGAAAGCGCGAAATATGTGTGACGTCTTTGGTCCTGGGCTTACTAAAGGCGCGTTCACACTCTTGCAACCGAGTACGACCGAGAAAGACTTCTTGGGACCGGATGCACTGAGCGGAGCTGGTCCTAAGAGATCGCAAGAGGCTTAACAACCGGTTTGGTCTCTCTCGGTCGCACTCGGTTGCAAGAGTGTGAACGGGCCTTAATGGTCAGAGCTGCTAAAAGCTTTTTTTTAGTCGAGATACAAAATAAAAGTGTCGCGAACCGTTTCAATTTTGTATGAAAGTAGTTTTTGTTCAGTATTCTAGATCCAAAAAGAAAAAAATGCAGTTTATAAAGTACGAAAACAAGAAAAGACCGTCAACAAACCCGCCACCAAGCGGCGGAAAAAATGGCGGTTACTAGAAAGGACTAGTGGGATGAGGCTACGACGAACAGCGAGCATAGAAAGTTCTTGGATGTATGCGGCGGCGCTGCGGTCGTGTACCGGCTCGAGGATGCGACCGGTTCCGAGCGTTCCGAAGGCTTTTGGCGCGGGCTTGGCTGGCGATTTGGCCATTTGGCGTTATGGCAGTGCGAAATGGCTTTCATTCTAAACTGATCTTTACCCCGTGTTTGCTGTTTGTGGCCAATGAAGTGTTATGCCGAATTAGTCTTTAATCGCTCAGCAAATGCAAAGCGAGCCGCTTTGGCCGCCCGCTTCATACAGCCTATCCAACACGTGCTTTAGTGGCGCCCTCTCGAGCCGTCGACACGGAGTGCGGCAGCCGTGAGCGCTCGATGAGCTCACTACTACTCCTCTAGTTCACGGCCACTCAAGCCAGTACCTATGACGTCGTGAAGGAGGTTATTTTTTGCTTGTTTTTGTAATTCTAATTTGCCTATAACTTTTAAAATAAAGCGAAATATGAGAAAATAAAAGTTTCTTTAAGTTACTGCTTTCATTGCGCTCAGGTTCGGTGCAAATTAAAAACTAGTCAAAACGTTGCAGGGCCCCTTTAAGCCACATGGAGTGAAAGCTCGCACTGCAAGACTCCGGTGTCCTGGGTTCGATTCCCACCCCCCCTCCATTTCAATCTGGATGAGCATTGTTTAGGCGCGCGGTGGTGTTTCATTACTATACCTCTTCACCCTTAACTCCTTCGCCATTTTACACGAGCCTAGCTCGTCCACCTAGGGACGTCCCCAAACCGTTAAGACGAGTGCAGCTCGTTCGTGCACCCTCCCTCGCCCCTTGACAGTTTTGGACGACTCGGGCTCTTTCTGAGCTTGGTTTGCGGTGGTGCTGGAACTTGGAACCCATCTTTCGTATTTGCCGTATTTCTATTTTGTCCCATCGATTTCTCATCTGGTATCATCAGAACCGAGGAAAACTGGTGACTACACTTCTGTTGTAGAGCAATCCGCGGCTGGTAACTGTGCAGGGCATTCTTCAGCCACAACGTCGGCGCCCATTTGTCGTCCAAGCTGTAACTCGTCCGACCAACTGCTGGACGCTTCAATGCACTGTTCGCGCGGGACACCAAACACACCACACGGAGACGCTACCTGGACACCGTAGAAGACTCGTTGAACTGGCGCACAAACTATCGTGCCGGATCTGTTCAGGCGTTTCCTGAACATACACAGGAATGGTGTACACATACACTGCATACACAGGAATGGTGTACACACACTCATGGATGCTTGCAGTATCTGGTTGCTGTTAAATGTTAAAAAACATGTGCAAAAAATTTTTCAATTTTTTTTAATGCTTGGATTGTGGTCTGTCATAAAACTGAATTACAATGAAAGCATTTTTTTTAAGCTGTATTTACGGTGCGAAACAATTTTTTTGATATGCGAAGTCTAAGGGTCCTCCTTTTCACTTTTTTTTTTCTCGTGCCTGTTCACTCAGTGGAGGAGTGGTAAGCCACTTGGATTGGCTTGGCTACCCAGCTGAAAAATGTGCGTGTGCCTAGTGCGTCATCTGCTCAGCTTCGGCTCGTGCTGTGTTATTTGGGTTTCTGTGCCGCTGGTGGTGATGGCAGTGGTGGTCTCACCTTTTGCGATGGATCCGTAGTTAAAGTGTAGACTTCTCGGCCACATCAAGCAGCTAGGGCTTTGACTTTACGAAAACACACCTGAGGCCCTTTCCGCGAAAAAGCTTGGAAGCCAGTGATGTGCCTGCAGACAGCGGTGCCAGCGGGTTGCAGCTCTCGCTCGAGTGGTACAAGTCGAGGAGGCGACAATTTTTTATACTTGTTTTTTTTCCCACACATAATATTTCGCGTAATAAAAAAAAAGCGTGACCTAGCTTTAAAGGGGTACGGAAACAAAAATTTAAATATTCAAATTTCGTTCAAAAATGAGTCGAGCACGTTTGTATTTTGAACGACTGGCTATATTTTTCATTCCAAATGGTGCACTCGAGCAAGCGCTCCAAGAGAAGCGAACGGAGAGTGCGATGAGTCATGGGATATCCGACACAAACAAAAACAGAAAGAAAAGATTTCCCGCATTCGTGGCGCAGCAAGGCTGGCGTGGCTTTGAGCTTTGCCGTTAGTGGTGTTGTCAGCGTTGTGGTGGTGTCAATAGAATCAACGCGTTACAACTGAGCCGGTCAAAGTACCCGTGGGGTGACGAGCATGTGGCTGGCCCAAGGAGCACGCAGCTTCCACAGCACTGTCAGCTTAGGAGTGAACGGGCTGGGAAAAGCAACTTTTGTCCAAATTATGAGGAACTGGCTAATCTTCTAGGGGGCGAATGGCTGTATCCGGGTGCACAAACAAGGGTCCAAGAAAGAGGGGAGTCCCTCCTTTCAGTCTTCTCGGACTGTTTGGTTGAATGCACGATTTATGAATTAAGTAAGAAAGTTAAGAAAGAGAACGTTGAAATTCCAAAAGAACGGCGCTGCTCCGATGGAGCTTGCTACGTCGTGACTACGTAGCAAGTTCCCCGACGTTGCTAGATTACCTCCCAAATAGGCTCCGCATGCATCCACCAGGTGCACATTGGAAAGTCGTTTAACTAGCTTTAAAATTAGTTCGCTTGTGCCTTTCAATGCAAGCCTGGTGTTTTTGAGGTTATGCTGCAACATGCAACACATTAAAGCTATGAAATGAATGCTGGAATTCCGTTTCCCTAACCCTTTAAGAGGGTTGCAAACACAACGTGACTTAATGGCCAGTCACGTGACTGGCAGTCGCCATCTCTCCGCGGGCTCCCACGGGTGCCAATTACAAATTTGTTTTCTGCCGTAAATATAGCTCTAAAAAAATGTTTTGTTGTAAATATATTTGATGACATCCTTTTTCCATCCAGGCTGTTTAAAAGAAATATTTTTTTGCTTCGCATATGTCCTTTAAGTGCAGCACTGAGACGTGTTCAGTGCACCATAGTAGACGCGTTCGACCGGCGAACCGCTGTGTGCGAACCCTTACTCAAGTTGCGTCTGGCACCACGCAGGCGGCCAACTACCTGGACATCAAGGGCCTCCTGGACGTGACGTGCAAGACTGTGGCCAACATGATCAAGGGAAAGACTCCCGAGGAGATCAGGAAACAGTTCAACATCAAGAACGACTTCACCCCCAGCGAGGAGGAGCAGGCACGTGGTGACGAGCCCCTCTGAGGGCACTGCCCTCCCCCCCCTCTCCCCATCCCTGTCCCGTCTCATTGCTAGCGGCCTTAGCACCCTCCCTTCGCCCACCAGTGGCAGCCTTGTAAGGGGTCTCCTTCTGTCAGAATAAAATCTAGGCCCTTCTAACACTCCTTCTTCGGGGCTTCTCTCCTTCTGCAATCGTGTGCCTGTGTTTGCAGCAGCATGGGTGGAGGGACTTGGTCTGTCTGGTCTGGCGCATGCGGTGGCATGTTGCTTTCGTGGCCTCGTTGAGGGTCAACTCTGCTCGGTTTAGCGTGGTTCGGGAATCACGACTGGGTTTGGTGCATGCGGTCGGTGCCCCTGTAAATCTTTTTGTGGTGCGGTGTATCGTCCCGGAGCTCCAAAAGTTGCTGTTAGAATGCGATTGAGTTGCAGTTTCGTGAGATGAAGCATTACTAAGGTGTAAATCCAGTTACGCGACTACAAATGGACCTATAGTCGCCTACGAGATGTGCACAATCTGGCGTCTCATTTGGATGCCCGGTTTCTAGGCATCCAAAACTATTGAGACACAGAAGTGCTTTCAAAGATAGGAATGCTCGCTGGAGGCTGAAAAAGAAACACCTCCGTTCCATTTTCCTGTTGGCAACTACCATATTTACTTGCTTAATGAATACCGTATTTTCCAATTTATAAGTCGCACCTTTGTAGAAGTTGCACCCCCCTAAATATGGTTGTTTTCATGAAAAAGTTGGTATACAAGTCGCACCTTTGTATAAATCACACTTTTTGTACAGTCGGTGCGGCATTGCTCATCCCGTGTTACGTGTATTGAGATTGCGACACATACGGAAGAGGGAGCCAATTTCGCCAATGACTCGAACAAGAAAAATAACTGGCGCGGCAAATGCGGTTTGATACGCTGGTGCTCGCGTGTACAAGCCACCGATGTTGCTGGGCGCGGATTAAGAGGGAAAGCCGACCCTCGGTAACCGAAGGCTACGCCTGACGGCAAGCAAGCACTGCTAATGCCTGCTTTGTTGGTGTTGCTCCCGGGCACAGACTCAATGAGGCCGGCTTTTTTGAAGCCGGCTAACACCGTGCCCACGGAAACAAAATTCCAAGCCTCTTGGACCCATTTGGCCACCTCGCCAAAAGATGCATGTCTCATGCGTCCCGATTTGGTGAAGGTATGGTCTCCGTCGGGTCATCCACGTCTCCCATAGACGTCTCGGAACAGCTTTGAAACTGCAGTTGACGGAAATGTCCAGTGGCTGAAGCATCTTTGTCATACCTCCTGGGATTATTGTTGGAACGCTGTTCTTGGATTTTATCTTTTTCTTAATCAAATCGGTTAAATGGGCCCTCATGCTGCCCATTACTAAAAAGCCCTTGTGTGCGTGAAGAAATCCACCAGGTCGCTGGGAATAGTGTCTGTCTTGCCACACACCCATCATTTCTTCATCCATCCACCCTTTGATGTTGCACTGTACGACGACTGCGCGCGGAAACTGATCCTTTGGCACTGTTTTAGGGGCGAAGCTCCTTAGGCCTTGTCCATTCGTCTGGCGTCCGTGCTCGCACAAGGGTTCGAACTCGGGACCGCTTGCTTATGAGGCAGACGTCTTAACCACTACGCTACGTTTAAACGTTGCATGTATCTGCCAACGTCTATACAGGAAAGGGCGATCAATATCATCAGCACCACCAGAGTTTTGCCCCAATCAACATCATTCACCACGTGGAGATGCAGCCTCTTTTTTTCTTTTGAATATTAGCATTGGTGGGACTTTCGTCCCGTCGGCACAGCAAGCCAGCACCACAGTAAAATGGGACTTCTCATAGCCGGTCGTCCGGACCGTAACGGTCTTCTCGCCTTTTAATGGCCCCACTCCTTCCAGATTCGTGCAGACTCCGAAAACGCTCGGCCTGCCGGAACTGAGAAAAGTTGTACGTCGAGGGTCGCGTTTCTGATGCTTTTTGTTTAAAAAGAGATGCGCGTCGGCGCTTGAGATGCTAGAGATTCCACCGTCGCCGTCGGTGGCATCTCGTCCGTCGACGCATATAGGTCGCACCGGTGTATGAGACGTACTGCCAGAAATTTTGAAAAAAAAAACCAACTTTATTTATAAATTAGAAAATACAGTACACTTTTTTCCCACGAAGAATTGACAGATGTTTGAGGGGGTGCGTTGATTACGCGTGGTAAAATTTTTGCCATTTAGGCACTTGGCGCAAATGTAATTTTAGGTGCCAATGCGACATGGCAGCGTACTGTGGCATGGTTTTACTGACGGAGGCACACCCAAGGCCGATTGTGGGTGCGCCACAGTAACCATGCTCTATAAATGGTGAACCTTTTGATGCGCTTCTGGCATTCCTTTTACCGAAGAAGCGCCATACAAAGCTCGCTTGACACAGAGCGATGCGAGTGTTCTTAGGCCTAACCGCTTTCACGATTTCACTGTCTGAAAGCAGACCAGAGATGACGGCGTGTTCGTTGACATCAATGCATCCGTCGGGTGAAGTATATCCAGGGCTGGGCAATTCCCTGACCCCAGTTTCGTTACGTGTGCCTGCCGCTCAGTTTCATACTGACATGTAACCCTGGAGCCGGGGTTACCATGTCAGTATTGAACCAGCTCGCCTGCACCCTTGCCTTCGATTTTTGCGGTTGATCATGTACACAACTACACACTTGCAGCCATTACGAGAGTCCCTTGATTTAGGAAAATTGGCTTGATGGCTAGGCGAGTTGGACGCTTTTCTCGTCTCGCGGTGCCGAGAATAAGAAGTGCGTTCATTACTCGAGGGAAAAAAAGATTTTGTTGTCTTCGTCCGTTTCTTTTAAGGCCCTGTCACACTGAGGTAACAGTTGGACAGCTCTATCCGGCAACACGGGGAAGTTGTGTTTGCCGGCGACCCTGTCACATCGTGGCAACAACACCAGTTGGGCAACATGTTGCTGCCACCCGGCAATCGTGTTGTCCGACAACCCTCTCGCACCGCGCTGACGGCGAGGACAACACGGGGAACACTCTGCCATCTTGATTGTTTACCTTCGTTCGTGTGCGGCGCAGGATCGCTGCAAATGTGATAAAGTGCTAGTGAGTTCGAAGGGCCGGGAATTACCATGGTACGACATCAGCCAGTGACTGATTAGAAAACTTGACATGGGGAGTATTTTCCGCTCTTTATTTTATCGAAATGTTCTTCATTCCCTGACAAAGCAGATAGCCCTAATCGAGGAAAGTGACATTGCTGATATATGTTCGGGATTTACACCACCGTATGAAGCGTTTCCGTCCGGTTCTTTCATGCAATTCCTATTTCTATTGTAAAATTCAGTTAGCACCGGTAATACCCCAAAGCTTATTTTGTAGCGTGGTGTTGAGCTGAACTGACAGTGCTTCAAAACTGCGACACTGACACGATCGGCCTTCATAACAATCGGTGGAATAAATATTTTTCAATGCTGTCTGCTTGCTTACCACCTGCTATGTGATCGCTTCATTCCCCCAAAACGTCCTGGGTATTTTTAAAACAAATCGGGTGGCTGGTAGCGGCTGTTTTCCAAGTTCCGAGCATCAACACGGGAACACGGGCACTTGAAGGGTTCTGCAAAGCGATTGTCATGCCAAATTTGTGTGCTGTAGATGTCTGTTCGAACGGTGGACTGAAGGCCTGTGATCGTTTTGGGTTGACATTAGTTTTCTCCCAAACGATGAGGCATTTCGAAGTCGCTGGTTAACTCGTTTTCTTGCGTAGAGGTCTCGTCGATGGTGTCAAAGTTTGGTTGCTATACCTTTGGTTGGAAGACTTCGAACAGCACGTTCAGGTTAGCCGGAGTCTGAGCATAAGTGCAAAGCGACCCCTATTGAGGACAGTCTCCTTAGGAACATCTTTCGTTCCGTTGGTGTTAGGTCACTGAACGGGAGCCCGAACTCGCTCGCAAGAGCGGCATTGTCATCCATGTTGACATGTCCGAGAAAACGATGGCGCCACCACGCCGCTATAACCCACACAAACTAGAATCTCAATCTCCTAAATGCTACAAATACCGACTATTCACACTTGACGTCACTCCCTACGTCACCTCCGTTTTCGGAGGCCCAGAAATGAGAATAGAGATAGTTCAGTTTCGGTTTCTTCAGTTCTTTCGTAGGCAAAAAAATACGCATCACAAATGTCTATAAAAAATTAAGCAGTGTGCTAGGTTCCCAAGAAGCCTAAAAACACCATTTAAAAAAAATAATTCAAATAATTTTCAAGCAAGATGCACGAACAAACCTTTTCTGCAACGCTAACTGATGTTTTGGCTTGCCAATCTTAGTATCTTTATTTGCTGGGCTAAGCATTCTCAAACAGGCAGCGGTCCGACTCTCTTCTCGACAACGTTTCTGTCGCTGTGCTATCAGCACGCTATCATTTGATAGATGAATTTGGTTTCAGGCGAGATGCACAAACTTTTTCCGGAACGCTAATTGCTGTCCCGGCTTTCAAATCAAATCTTTTACCTGCTGGATTAAGCACTATTCAACTGAAAAGGTGCAGCGGTCTGGGAGTGCCCTTCGTCTCGACACGGTTTCGGTAATCGCAGACATCTTGTTTTTGGGCGTGACGTCGTGCTGTGCGAAGAAGTCACTTGCGTGCCGAGAAATACTCTGTGCACGAAGAGCGCGCTCCTGTCCGTTTAGTGAACGGGGCGCCAAACTCGCGCGCTCTGGAGCACGGATATAACGCGTCCATTAAGCCATTTAGAAAAAGTAACCGAGTAATGTCAATAGCATTTAAACTTTCTCGTGATGTTGAGGTGTTTATGCTATCGCCGAACAATTCACTTTCCAAAGCAAAGAAGAAATGGCCACTGCTCTGCTTAATTAAATGCTTAAACTGTAGTGTCTAGGCATTAATCAATAATTTATATGCATGCCAACACAATTTGTTTTTGAAGCTAATTCATTTAGTTGCTTCAAAAATATTACAAGGTTTATAGTCAGCGAAAT